AAAAAAAAAAAAAAAAAAAAAAAAAAAAGAAGAGAAAGTTCACTGACTGACTGCTCTATTCTGTCTGGAAATGAATGCCCAGGCAGAGAACAGAAAAGTGTGATAGAGTGAAGACTTCTCAGTATGCATTCAGGACAGGGACTTCTGCCCTAAGAGGCAGCTTTAGTAAAGAGAAATCCTTTAGCCTCAATTCTGGGGTATGGGACAGCAGGGCTGCAAAGAAAAGCAGACAACAGTGGCAGCAGCAGCCACAGCTATGTCTTGCACGTTGACTACCTGCCAGCCCCTGCCTGCAGCACTGTGTACAGTGGTGAGAGTTATCAGTACCAGTTTCCAGTCAGCAGGCCTGGATCTGAACTGGCTCCGCTGCTGACCAACTGTGAGGGCTTGGAAAGTCCCTGACCTTTCTGGGCTTCAGTTTCCTCTTTATCTGAAAAATGGAGAGAAAACTGCTCCCCATGAGGTTATGGCAAGGGTTAGGGAAGACCTTCATATAAAACACCAGGTAGATGCAGCAGGGGTTTGGTAAATGTTAGCTACTTTTACTACTTAGTATCTTCTTTGACAGTTACTGACCTGAGTATAAATCCGGTTCAGAGAAGTTTAGAAGCACAATGAGAAGACAAGCATGCTAAGGCACCCACCTAGCAGAGCAGCAGGAAAAAGTGCCCCTGGGGAAACATCAGAGGAGGCGGGCAGAGGTTCCCAACCCACACAGAGAGCCCACTCCTTTCCCTAGAAAAATCCACCCACTTCCCACAGACAATTAAAAAGAGGGAAGGCTCACAAGTGGTGTTGCTTTGATCATCTTCATTATACAAACACATAAATGAAACATTTTGGTTAAAATTAAATCTTCCTGATAGTGATTTAAGATAAATTACCTCTCTACTACAAAGTAGTTGTACTTTAGATTCAAGGAGAAACTACTTAACTAATTTTAAACTTGTAAAGTTACAATACCAAGGAGAAACCACTTGAAGCACTGGCCCTTTCCAAAATGAAGGAGTGAGTCCCAGAATAGGTATCATTTGTGTTGCTGGGTGTATGTGTGTTTTGGTTTATTGTTTTGGAATCTGGCCGGGGACAGGGGGATTATACTACTGGTCTATAATCAAATACATGGCAATTTTGAATGATTAAATCTTGCATGTAGTCAAAATATTTAATTTGGGATAAAGAAATGAATTTACTTAATTTTATCTAGGTAGTCTGAATAATGAAAGTTCTAGTAAGTCCATTCCATGAAAATAAGCTTCTTTATTAAAAAAAACAAAACAAAACTCAAATTTGGACAGCCTCTAGTAAAAACAGTAAGGTAATAAAAATCCTCTTCTCCTGTCCCATGTCTAACATATAGTGAGATGTAACAGACTCACTGATTGGAGAACAGGTTAGTAATCTAAACATTATCGCCTCTGGGGCTTCAAGAGTACTCCTTTAAATATGAGCAGATATTTTGGAAGCACTGGCATATGAGTAACCAGGCATAAACAATTCCTTTGCTGAGTCACACAGCCTGATTTTTCGGGGATAAGAAATTCCTCTTGGACATTGCCTTTTGAGGAGCAAACACACTGTACCAACATTTAGCCTCACAATTCTGTAGGGATTGGATAAGAATCTCACTCTAATCAGGTAACGCTCCAATCAACTTCGCTGAAACACATTTTGCAACTATAAATAACTTGATTTCCTGTGCTCAGCATAAGTGGCAGTTGAGACTGCAGGGTTTTTTGAAATTTGCTAAGGAGGCTTCCGCTGCATGATATGAGTTCAGGGTGAACAGAAACTGCCTCTTAAAGGAAAAGGGAAATTTAGTCTCCATCTTTGCCCCAGTAGGACACTCTCAATACTATTAGAAAAGACCTACCTTACTATATTTCTATCTTACCTGCCTGGGGAAATGACATACCTAAAACACACCATATGATTCCAGGTTCTACCATCTCAGACTGAGCTAGAGCAGAGCCAGCCCGCCTTCTGCCAACTTCATCCCCACATTGGTCAAGACTCCCACTCTCCCAGACCTGGGGACCCTGGGCCAATTACCTATAATGAGATGGGAATTGGGAGAATGTGTGTGCGTGGTCTCCCCTAACAGCCCTCTCCCGGTGCTGGTCATTTAGAAAGGCTGGGTGCTAATCAGTATGTGGAAAGAGAGTGGGGTGACACAAGTCATCGCAAACACAGGGAAGTTACAAAAGCTGAAGAAATGCAGTTTCTCCACTGTCCCCATTGGAGCCTCTCCTACAGCTCCAGGGCCGGCGCCCACTTGCTGAAGCCCAAGCTCCCACACAGATCCTACTTTTGTCTTCTAGTTTAGGTGGAATTCACCAAATCTACTTCCTCCGAACAACCCAGCTCTCGTCCAAATGGATGCGGTCCCCAGTCCCTCCTCTCCACAGGAGACCCATCTCTGAACCCACGGACACAATACAGAACACGAACTGGCACAAAACAGTGTGAAACATCCACTACAACTCTCCCGTGGGTATACCCAGCCCATGGCCCAAGGGAGCCACTGGGTGACACCCCTTCCAACATACCCCCACCCATGGTGAACCCCAATTCCTATCACCACTCAGCACATTTCCTTCCCTACCTAACCATTAACCTCTTAACAGGAACTATGTTTTGCTTTTGTTCACCATGTCTCACTCTGATAAAGCTTTTGCGACCATTTACCAAGAAAAGCCCCTACAGGTTCACGATTTTTTACTATAAACCCTTGGGGCCATGCTTCAGAATTCAGTATTTTTGGACGTTAGAAATGTAGTAAGACGCATATACCATATATTCTGGTACGACCCATAGTAGCAGCCCTTAATCAAAGACATCAACAAGACTGCAGAGAAACGCATGAAAATTCACACTGAGAGGAATAAATGAAGACCAAAAATAGCTCCCCCCATTGGGCAGGACAAGTCTCACTGCCAAAATTCTGCCACAGACTTATAAAACCAAACCAAACCAAACCAAACCAAACCAAACCAAACCAAAACACCAACCTTCCAGTCTTCAGGGCTTACTGGGTTCTGGAACTGGGGGTGAGGGACAGTGGACCAGGGCTGATCACATGACTACTCGGTTGGATGCAGTCCAACTTTCCTCTCCCTTCTTCCCAGCAGCATCTGGAAGAAGTCATCTGAACACAGACCCGCCCAGGAGGCTCCCAGCCTTACGTAACAGACCCTGTAGCCAGTGCCTTAGCTGCTCCAGGTGTGCCTCTGTCGACTCTTCTGATCAGCCTGTCCCTGGCTTCCTCACATCCTGTGTCAATGTTTACTCTTCCCTTCTCCAAGGACTACAGCCCAGCAGGCAGCTCTTCACCTCCACCCACTCCTGCCATCTATGGTGTCCCAGGCTGCTCCTCAGAACCTGGACACCACGCAGCCACATGCCCACCATTCTTCTTTCCTGATGGCGATTCAATGGTCTCCCTTTCCAGGCTCCTAGGAACTAATTAGGTGAAGGGATAAAAACCAGCTCCAAAGGGCTGGCCTACTGCCAGAGTTTTAAATGAGGTCACAGAAAAACCACACTAAAATGGACATTGAAAAAACAGCCACCTTCTGACAAGCAAAGAACTGACTCTTCAGCATGCGTTCACCAGACCCTATTTCTACACCTCTCTCCGGCATTTCCTAGTAAGTCTCCCAAGGTCAAGGCAGTCTGATTCATCTTAAATCTTCCACACACGCCCAGCAGATGATTAATTTCCACCTGATGAAAGAGTGATTGTTTGGGGCTCATACTTTTACCAAGATTCCACGAACACCTGATTCAGTGGAAAGCTAGCGTTTTAGATTTCTTTTCCAAAGTGCACCCTTTCACTTTTATTCCCATTTACGTTCAACCACAAGCTGCATGAAATATGTACTTGCAAGTCCTCCCCGCCTCATCCGCTGTTCAATTTTAATGCCGAACTACAGCCAAGGTCCCACGACTGCATACCGAGCTGGACAACGGCAAAAGCCTACAGAGGCAGGATCCTGTCCGGGCTGGGCAGGCCTGGGAGACCAGCCAAAGTGGATGTGGGGCCTGGGGTCCTCGGGGAGGCGGTTTTCAGGTGCTGAGCGCGATTAGGGCTTCAAGCGCCGCAGCCACTCGCCGCTGGTCCCAACCGCGGGGTGAGGGCACCGGCTCTGGGCACCCGGTCCTGGGTGCTGCATTTTCTAAAACAGCAAACCAGCAGCTCCATGTGACTCTAGACTGGGCGCAGACCTGGCCAGAGCTTGTCCGGAGCCCATCACCTCGGGTGGGGGGAGACCATGTGCCTTTTCGTCCTTGGAAGGGGCGTCCCCCAATAAAACGTGCTTCACGGCGGACGAGGGGCGCCGCTCGCTGGCCACTCACGGACCCGCGCCGCGCCCGCTCCCACCGTGCGGGGGGCCCCGGAAGGAGCCCACCCCTCGCCTCCCGGGCACCTGCGCCTGCCCTTGGCATCGGAACGAGCAGGAAGCCCCTGAAAGCCCTCCGCGGTCAGGAAAGAAAGTTTCGGAAGCGCTTTTCTCTCACCAGCCTCTGCGCTTCCGGGCTCAGGCAGTCGATCTCCCGGCTCTGCGCGGCCGCGGGGCTGGTCATCCTGCCGGGCTCGGCCCGCTCCACCGGCGGAAAACGCTCGGGGAGCGCTCCGGGAGCCCCTCACCGGCCGGGCCAGGGGGCGCGCGCTCTGTCCGCGGAGACGGAGCCACTCGCCGCGAAGTGAACGCTCACGCTTCCGGGGCAGGGAGCCAGCCAGACGGGGAGCGGGGAGCGGTCCCGGGCTGGGGCGCGGCCGGCAGGGGCGGGGCGCAGGTGGCCTAGGGCAGAGCCGGGCCGGGGCGGGCGGGGCTCGGGGGAGGCGGGGCTCGGGGGAGGAGGGGCCCTGGAAGGCGGGGCTCGGGCGCCTC